CGCATCCATTGTCAAGAATTCCTTAGATTATCGATAAAAATTTCCTTAAATCTAAGAAATTTTAAAGAAAATCAATGCCTATTAATAAAGGCTGTATTTCCTGCGTTCTTTTCGAAAAGTAGTTCTGCATAAATAAGTTATAACAGCTAATTTGATTGAATTGTTTAATATTATTTAAATATTTTCAAATATTTAATTAAGGGTAAAAGCTTGAAATTCCCCAGATATTCCTTAGGGGCGAACCAGCAGAAAAGTGATGGGGGGGGGGGGAGCAAAAACAAAAATCGAGCAGAGGAAACAGAAAGAAAAATAAATTCGTGCACCAAAAAAATTTTTAAAAAATTCCTGCAGAAACTTTTCAGTAAGGAAAATTAGAAGTTAATTCAAAAAATTTAAAAAAATATTCGTACAAGTTGAAAAAGCCCCCCCCCCCCCATCACTTTTCTAATGGTCCGCCCCTTAAAACATTAATCTCCTAAAAAATCCAAATTTCCTCATTAAAAGGAAATTTCCTTAATTAAAAACGTAGTCAAAATTTTTCACTTTTGTCACGTCTGTCAAGTTGATCAGCGAAACCGCAATGCCTATAGAATGCCTATACTTTATGTTGTACAACTATGTTAGATTTTCGTTAATGGACCTTTTTAACAAAAGCGACTACATCGTCAATATGTGATCATGTGATGCACCAGTGAACTGAATTTAACTGAATATTCAGTTCAGTACATTGAAAAATGAATATAACTGGTCAAGATACACGTATTTATGTCGTGAAACGGCTGAGGCAGCCCATTAAGTTGTTTCAAATTTCTGGTTGGAAGCAGCGTTCCAGTTATATTCATTCCAATGGTGCCAGCACATAACTTTTAAGTTTAAAAACTGTGACTTAGGCCCGGTTTAGACGGCGAACTTTTCATGCGCCGAATCTAATTGTCGTAGATACGGCAAAATATCGGAAGCTGATTTAGACGTGGAACTTAATTGTACCGTACCAAATTGCGAGGACACGATATTGGACATATTTACAATACAAATATAATATATGATAATCATATTATGATGTTAAAAAATCATTATGCATTAGGTTCGGCGCATGAAAAGCACGGCGTCTAAATCAATGTCGAACCTGTGTCGCATATACGACTTGTCTTGTCGCATCTTCGAGTCATGTCGAACTTAATCAAAACCTGTCGAACTTAATTGATTTAGACGCCGCTCCAGCGTCGCACTTAATTCTTGCATTAGATTCGGCGCATGAGAAGTTCGCCGTCTAAACTCCGGGCCTTAGCCATAAATTCATATATTGAAACTGTAACTAACTGTAGCTTAGCTATCAATTCACGCTCAACTAATCCTCTTAGCACTGGTACCATTAATGGTCAACCCGTTTAAACCGATAAATTACAAAAAAATCCTAAACAAAGAAGGAGAAAGAAGTTCACTAATCACTATAAATTGTAGTCGAGGCATGTCAGCTGTGGCCTAGGTTTTTCAGGTGGTCGAATCCCTCTTAATTCGCAGTTAATTTGTTGAAACTGTGGCTTAGCCATCAATTCACTATCTGTTATAACTGTGGCTTAGCCATCAATTTACCTCAGTGTTGAAACTGTGGCTTAGCATCTGTTGAAACTGTGGCTTAGCCATCAATTCATCTGTTAAAACTGTGGCTTAGCCATCAATTCAGCTGTTGAAACTGTGGCTTAGCCATCAATTCATCCGTTTAAACACTCAACTAATCCTCTTAGCACTGGTGCCATTAATGGCCAACCAGCTTAAACCGATAAACTACCAAATAATCCTAAACAAAGAAGGAGAAAGAAGTTCACTAAGTCTAGACGAGGCCTGTCAAACCGGTACCATTAATGGTGAACCAGCTTAAACCAATAGACTACCAAACAATCTTAAACAAAGTTCACTGACTCCTAGACAGATGCTCTTCAATCAAAACTTTTTTCAGGAAGTGCGAACCGACGTACAATTTCTCTCTCTATAATGTAGAAATTGATCCGCTTGAGTAAACACGGTATTTAACTTCGGCTGTCAAACTTTTTTGTCTTAACATTAGCCCTCCAATCAACTGTTTAAACTGTGGCTTAGCCTTCTATTAATCTGTTGAAACTGTGGCTTATTCATCAATTCATCTGTTGAAACTGTGTCTTAGCCATCAATTCATCTGTTGAAACTGTGGCTTAGTCATCAATTCATCTGTTGAAAGTGTGGCTTAGTCATCAATTCATCTGTTGAAACTGTGTCTTAGCCATCAATTCATCTGTTGAAACTGTGGCTTAGTCATCAATTCATCTGTTTAAACTGTGGCTTATAGCCATCAATTCATCTGTTGAAACCGCTGTGGCTTAGCCATCAATTCATCTGTTTAAACTGTGGCCTAGCCATCAATTCATCTGTTGAAACTGTCAGTGGCGTGCTGGGTACTATTTTTCTGGGGAGGCCAGCCGGCTGGCAACTAATATGCGCCCCTATAATATTACCCTTGATAAACGAGGGCCGAAGGCACGAGTCGAGCGCCGCAGGTGCGAGGTTTGTCTAGGGGGGTCCGGGAGCATGCCCCCCAGGAAAATTTTTGAATTTAAAGTCTCTGAAATGCCATTTCCTGGACTTTGGGGGAAGATTTGACAGAAATCTGATGGTCAGGAAACGGCATTACAACGTGTCGAAATTTGAAAATTGGTTAGAATTTAGTAGTAGCACTTAAATTGGGCAATGCTAACTACTTCCAGCAATTAATCTAATCCCAATTCTATTCTCTACTGATCTGAATACATTTACAATTTACAGCTCTTTTATACAATAACACACGAACCCCACGCATATGCATTTTAGGGGCGGACCATTTGATTTTTGAGGGGGGTGGAAGATTCAGTCTGTGCAATAATTTTTTTTCCGCCCAGGCGAACGAGACAGATATTTTTTTCCTGTAAAAGTGCAGCGCAAGATATTTTTTTCCCAATATATTTGGCCGCAGGATATTTTTTTTGCCTCTCATAATAACGGCTTACAGTAACTTTAGGCTTTCATATAGCTATCATCGGAGACGTAGCAGGGGTTTTCAGTCAGAGGAGGCCGAGAACTGAATCCCAAGAGGGGCCAAGGAATTTTCACTGTGCTTTATTTTATATATGGTTATGTCTTAATGTTCCCCACACTAAAGCGTGCAAGTTTACTTACAAAGAATGTATAACTGCACCAAAACCTAAAACATGCAGGGATAGAGTAGAGTACTCGAAAATGGGGGAGGGTACAGTATATGAATGACCTGTAACCTTGGGGGGTTCGGGGCATGCTCCCCCGAGAAAATTTTAAAATTTGAACCTCGGAAATGCTATTTCCTGCGTTTTCAGCCATGGATAATTATCTTAAGCCCAGATTTTCTCAGGGGGGGGCAACAATTTTGCCAGGGAACACCACTGGCTATCGTATGTCAGAGGCTCCAAAGGCGGTAGAATCCCTGTGATGTTATCCACTGTTCACCCCGTGTTCTTTTAAGCAAATGTGCCTGCTCAAAAATGCAAAATCTTGCAAGCCTGTGGACACAATACTGAAGTGAAGAGCATCAGTAGAGTTACATGTAGAAAAATTTTTTTTAGCGCTCTCTTTTGCATGATATTTTTTTTTCTCGATTGTGTGCTGCATGATTTTTTTTTTCTTTCTCCTTGGGTTGCAGGAAATTTTTTTTCGAAATCTTCCACCCCCCCCCTCAAAAGTCAAATGGTCCGCCCCTTAAGGTTTTTATTTTCTAATTTAAAGCGAGTCAACCGTAAGAAAAATAGTTGTTTTTGAGCAACTTTTTCCATATTCAAGTGATGACCAGTTGAATACTTAACCTGAATTTCATCCAAACACAAGCCAAAACAACGTGTAGCCGACTGCATGGCGAAGTCAGTGGATTTTCAAAACAATTAAAAGACAATGGAGCTACACGCTATTTCTGAGAGGCGCCTTTTATGATCGCGCGTTAGTCGTGCAATTAATAAGGCACATGGGAGTAACTCGATTAAAATATGCAAATTACCAGGCATCAAATTTTGCCAAATAGCTTCCTTGCAGACGAAGATTGTTGGGTGATATGGTTTGGCTGGGTTTCCTCTTCAAATACAGATGTGTCATGTTAAACCGTACTGATTATAACGACGGACAGACTGTATGCGGATAACGACAGCATCCGGAGGAATCGTATAGGAGAAACGAGTTTGAAGCGAATTTATTTCTGAATCATAAAATCGTTAGCTTTTTGAGCAGCATCACAAATACAACAAAGGTGAATAGTTGGTCTGTCAAAACTATGACAATTTATGGTGTCAGTGTCCGGTAAGTGTTCAGTAAATGTTAATCCGGGTAAATGTTCACTTATACTATAGTGGAAGGTATAGGCCGTCGTATATTGCCCCATTAGTGGGTTTTGCTAAGTGGGGCAGTGCTTCAGTGCACACGTGGCGAAATCTGAATGGAAAGATAGTTCTCAGAGTGATTGAATTATTCACTAAATGCTTTGCCTTAAGGCCGATTTACACTCGGCACAACTTTTGCGTAAAACCGTCGCATGCAACTGCTTATAACTCGAGTTGTACTGTGTAAATCAAACACAAAACTCACCTACGTTGTTGTAAGTGAGTTGTATGCTTCACACAGTACAACTCAAGTTGTAAGCAGGTTGCATGCGACAGTTTTAGGCAAAAGTCGTGTAGTGTAAATCGGCGTTTACGTTTCTAGGCACTGACTGGAACTCATTCTCTTATAATGCATGTATAAAGAAACATCGCTCCCAAATGTGGACACCATGCGCAGCACTTTATGATATTAAACACTGAACAGCTGTGAAAGGCCATATTACACGAGGCGATATGTAACGCTCAGTTGTAATGCAATTTCGGATGCAAGGCCATGTTATCTATTTGAATTCGATAGTACAGATATATATAGTAGAGCTCAGTGGTACATACCCTATTGACACAAAATGCATTAAATTAAAAATTTCATTTTATTTTTGATATTATACATTGTGAAATATTTTCATTTTTTTACTATAAATTTAACTGATCATGTAGGGATTATCAGGTTCAAAGATTATTTAATAATAGGCCCTTTGCAGCTGGCTTGAAAACGTTGCATATAACAACGAGTCATTTACTACAGTTAGACTATTAAGATACAGGTTGAACCACAGGAGCTCAACCAAGATGTAAAAAAAAATCATCTGTTAGATAAAATTTTCGTTGCCCACTTGTAATTAGCTGTGAAAAAAACTGGAACATACCTATCGCGAAATATAGAGGGGCGGAGAAGAACATTGCATAGTCCACGTTTTTAGCCTAACAGCAGTGATAGAGAAAATTCTCGCCTGCGAACAGAGATATCAAGGTGTGAAGAAAGACGAGAATGTTTGCTTTGTCCTGTTTCGCCCCTTTGGTGTTTTGGCCTGGTATGTTTATTATTTAGCTGAACTCTTTCTAGTACTTAGTTTGTTAAAAAGCTTAGTTGGCTTCCTGTGGTTACGAATTTCATTGTTTCAACAATGTCGTCATACAGATAGGTCCATTGAGACAACCAGTCAAACAGGTTATACAATCTCCCGCAGTGTTCCAATCTACGCTGGTCACGTGAGACTTGGATTCACCAATAGAAAACACTTGTGATAACACGTTGTCACTTTGATTGTACTGAAAAACAATGCAAGAATGTTTTAGATTTTACACTCGTAAAACAGTATTCCCAATTTCCCAATGTTCTGAGTTAAATACCTTGTAAATAATTCCTGATGCTGGTGCACAAGTTAATAAATGTTCTCCTTTACAGTCGAATGTGAACAATCTACTGAACAATGCTGGCTTGGCTTTTGATGACGTCATCACTGTATGATCACGTGGTCCACTCATGCCATCGTGTGCGACAATACTGGCTGTTTTGAGGCCCATCTTACGTAAACTCCACTGCAGAAACTAAAGCGAGTTGTGTGATATCAGAAAAGGAAGATTTACTGTGAATTACTGAAGCAGGTAAACGAATTGTTTTCTCTAAGGGCCTTTCATATGGGGAAAAGTTATCCCGGTTGGCGAGAAAACATTTCGACTAGCCAAATAATTTTGTTCTGTCCATATGAGTTATCCCGCTTACCGGGTAAAGTTTCCGGCTTGTGACGTAGCACTGGTGTGGCGCACAAGGCAGGAAATGTTAAACAAACTTTAAATACATTTTAAAACCAGAAAAGTTGCTGACCGAAAGTTGTGGCTATGTTGTGTTGATATGGGAAAAACATCCCGGTTACTAAGATCTCGCCTGTCAACAAGCGAGATCTCGGTACACGGAAAAACTTTTCGTCTCGTATGAACGCAGTGGAACTTTTCATATTATTTTCATACCAAGGCGAGCTCTCGCTTGTAAACTTGTCGACATGTTTTCTCGCTAACCGGGATAATTTTTCCCCATATGAACAGGCCCTAACATGGGGGATTCCATTTAGCCACTTAGGTAGGAGAAGGGTTTTGGTGATGAAATTTTGTGAGAATTTATACATCTATCAGACCTAACCAGAACAGTTGTAAAAAACTCGAAAACGTCTACAAAACCCTTCTACAATGAGTTCTAACGAGTGTAGATCAGTGGTGTAGACGCCCCAAATCCAGACGCTGAGGTAGTATTCTACAATGAGCTGCCGTTGTTTGTGCCTGAATTTCAACTACCTCAAAACTGTTTACCGCATGCAGAAGTAGTATGTTTATCCCGAACTCACCTGGTTATCTCGACCCAAACTAAATACTGATGTTTCATCCACACTAAACTGGACTGAGTTCACTTGGCCTGTATGCGCTGACCAGCTCATTAGACAATCGTACGATCGATTATCTGAACATAAGAAATAATTCATAATGAGCTGAAGCAAGCAACGTTTCTCTCGACACGGAAGTCATTAGCCGAATTCATATTAGAGACGGGAAACTCGTCTTAGACGGGAAACTCGTCTCAGACGGGAAACTCGTCTAATATGAATCTGGGCGCAGACGAGTTTCCCGTCTGAACTTTCCCGTCTAACTTACCCGGGAAAGTTAGACGGGAATCTCGTCTAGACGGGAAACTCGTCTTAAATTCGAATTTACCCTTCCCTAAATTCATACTCAGACGGGTTTTCGCAGACGAGTTTCCCGTCTAAGACGAGTTTCCCGTCCCTAATATGAATTCGGCTATTGACGGCATTTTGCATCAGCGCTCATGTAAGGAAGAGAAAAAAAGATAAAAATCTTATGTTTTGTCAGATGTGTTGAAAATCACAACAAACTGACATAAACAGAGTTTTTAATCCAGTCCTCCCCATTGAACTATAAATAAACTGGAAGGCTAACTCAGGGGGGGGGGGGAATTGAAGCCAGTGCATTATAGTTTTTCTGAGTTATGAGCAGAAATACGTTGGGCTATATATCAAATTGAAGCTATTGAAAAACGCTATTTGGTGTAGAAATTTCAAGACTTTAGCTAAAAGGGAAATATTGAAAAACTACAAATATAATTACCGATAATTTGCCGTTTTGCAGTTGTTTTTGTATTTTTTAAATATTTTTCTTTTCGCTGAAGTCTTGAAATTTCCATACCGAATAGCAATTTTCAATAGCTTCAATTTGATATATAGCCCGACGTTTGGGGTCAAGTATTTCTGCTCATAACTCAGAAAAACTATTTTGGCTTCATCAAATCATAGGCCTTCATCATAGCAGTTAGCCTTCCAGTTTATTTATAGTTCAAATTCAGTGCCGTAGCTAGCATTTATAGTTGGGGGGGTGTAGGCCAAAAATTTCCGAATGACGAAGAAAATTTCCGAACTTTCGAAAATTCTTGGCGACCTCCCCCCCCCCCCCCACGTCGCCAAAAAAATTTCGGTCAGTGTACCATTTTAAGGGTCAAAAAATTTTTCCCGACATACCAAAAGTTAGATATTAGCTAAAAATTGCCTGAATCTCATGATTTTCGTACAAAAACCATATACTATAATTGCCGTAATTTTCCGAATGGCCATCCCATTTTCCGAATATGTCAAAAGTTGGGGGGGGGGGGTTAACCACCCCCCCAAAACCCCCCCCCCCTACGGCCCTGAGTTCAATGGTCCTCCCTCGGCAACCTGACGTCTGTGTTGACAAAACGTCGTTTGCTTAAGCTCCCTAATATAAGTAACAAACTCCATATCCACACTGAAGATAAAATTGCCTCTTATACTCACCATATACCCTAATCACCCCATCAGCTCCCCCAGTAACTAGTAATGTCCCATTATGATTGTAAGCTATACAGTTGATACGAGTTATGTTGCCACCCAGAGGTAAATGGCGCTAAAACACAATATTAGATAAATTATACAAAATATTTAACAATTATTCGCCGAAGGCGAGGCGATTATCGTATTTTTACACAAGTCTTTTGTGTTTTTTGGGACTGAATTTATTTTAATTTCGCTAATTATTTTTAATATATTATAAAAAAATTTGATATATTATTAGCATGAAAGCATATTTCATACTGTATCTCTAAGGAAAATTCTGAAATGGAACAGGAAAAGAAACTAAACATACTTCTAACTTCATTGTCTTGAGATCCCACAACAGCAGTGATGTATTTTTATCTTGATCTGTGTGTAGTGCGTGTTTAAACACTGAAGACATCGTCATGGAAGATTTGGGTTCCACTGTGGCGGAACATACAAACGATGTACCTAATGGACTGCAAGCCAGAGAGACGATTCTACAATGAAAAAGGTACGATGTTTAATAATTGATATTTTAGCTTAAACACTGAAGAATCTTTTCCATGCAGACAAAAGCAGTATTTTTTCGTAAATCGCTTTTTACGCAAAAAATTGCTTCTGGCACATAATACCGTAATTACGAAGTGTGGGAGAAAAAAGTACTTGAGTCCCAGATGGGAGATAAACTGTAGCCTGCACATTTCTAGCCTGCAAGATATTTTATTTGTATCCTTCAAATCTTAAATATCTTGGATTTGAAGTAATAGTGTTCATTAGCTTTTTTGACTTAAACTCGTGTTTGAGAAATTCAGCACACTATGTTATTCCACCCCAAGAATGTTATAATTCTTATATTGCTGTCTAGTTTTGCATGTAATGAGCGGTTACTATTTTGAAAACAATCAATAAGGCAAATTATCGATCGTAATGGTAAAATTAGTGACTGGCAGTATTTATAAGTTAGCTGTTTAGAACATGAATAATTATGAATTAGCAATGTATTCGAAGGTCAATTAGAAACGTTGGTTTCCTCGTGTTTGTCTCTAACCTTGAGAAGATGGATATTCCTCTAACCTTCACACAGCTCTTACTCTTTATCACTCCAAATAAACTTATCCTCCTACCTTTTACTTGAACAAGGTTGAGATCCTGTGAACTATATACTAACCTGGAGTGATTGGACTCCGTAGACAAGTCACAACGCGTAGTCTTTGTTTCCGTATCGTACAAACGTATTTTACCATTGCTGGTGCCCAACAATAACTAAAACACAGGTTATTGAACCATTTTAATACCTAGAGGAATATGTTAGGCACAGACAACGAATCCTCAAAAGTGGACATTGAACGTCCGCATCGGTTCATTGCGTGAGCATGCAATATGCACTGTCTTTGCAGCTTCATTTTCATTCGGGCATTTGACTGAAATCATTACTCCCGTTATATATAGAGTGCATACACTATTGAAGTGTATGCTCACTACATCAATGCCATACTTACGACTTTATCAGTCTTTGACGCCCATTCAGTACACAATATTGAGGATTTTGTCATGACTGTAGCAACAGTAGATAACGTTGGTTGATGTTTCCAAACTCTACAAGATACAATGTAGTATTGTTTTACTCGGTTTCAAGCTAATAGTGAGTGCGGCATGGCTCTCGTGAAAGGACCGTGAAATTAGGTGAAGGAGCTCACTGATCTATACAGCCTTAAAGGGTATACCTAACATTATCGCGGTGTCAACATTTCACTACCACAAATGGCATTTGTCGCTGGATTTTATTCATTACCCCATGAGGCAGGCGTATGTTTAATGATTGAAGACTCCATTAAAACATCTCAATATGCGCTATGGATGAAGGTGCAATAAACAGTATATCAAACATACTTCACTATCCCATCTAAGTCAACACTGGAGATCATTTTGCCACTTGGAGAAAAATCACATTGCACAATTGACGAACGATGTTCAGAGAATGTTTCCTAAGGAAAATGATTTGATACAAACATTACCAAATTAAAAATATAAGTTTGCTTATGATGCTCAGCAAAATTGTTGCAGTTGACAGAATATATAACGTTACCTCGCCAAGAACAAGAAAAGGTTTCTCTGAACTTTCTGTAAACGGAAAATATTTTGAATAAATTTGAAAGGCCTATAAGGCTATAACTTCACAAGAACATTTTATCCAGGGTATTTTTGAATTCTATATGTTACCTTTGAGGGTTGTATTGTCAGAGTTAGTTGACATATTCGTCATTTCTCCTGAAATTACACATAGAATGAATCAGATGAATGGTGAAACCTTAAAGTATCCACCAGCAAGGCCGCCAAGAGCTTGCGCGGGGCCCTGCTTGCTTAAGACGTAGTACCCCCTCTCCCCAAGCTACTTCCTATCCCTCTGTAACTTACTGTAACTATTCTGCGATGTATTACTGATTGCTCTTCTTATTGGCGCCCGTCGTGCTGTTATCTTGGACGTCAATGACTGGCTTCGTTTTTCCTTAAACTCTATTTCTGATTGAAAATCATCAGCTTTAATCGGCGATAAATTCGCGTCATATTCCTGAATGGAGCTATTTTGTAAGCTCTGACTGTCCGATTTCTTTTCCTCACTGTTTTTGCTGCTTTCCAATTCTGTTCCAGAACTCTGTGTCGAGTCCAGTGTACTATCGGACTTTGTGTTAAGTTGTGGAATGTCAAAATCTTTATTTTCCTGCTCCATATTGTTCGTTTTTTCAGTTGTCTTTGTTTGCGAGTTTTCAGTTTGTGTTGTTTCTTGTTCCAACAATTGTGATTTTCGCTTTTCTTGACTATCTTTGTTCTTGCGAAATCGTCTTTGAATAAATGTCGTCTCTTTTTCCTTCGCTTTTGTTTCTTTAACCGCCGATTTCGGTCTGAAAAATTCAGTTTAACGCCATGGTATTTCACAGTTACAGCATGCTGGCTAGTCCAATTGTATTATATAACATCTCATTAAATTTTGGTCCAACTGTCTGTTTAATATACAGACGTTTATTTTTACTTGCATGTATTCAGTTTGTATAATTAGAATGGTGTCTGATGTTCGTTGTAATGGAGACGTCATTTGTTTAGAGCTTTCAACAATTGGGATTTTTAGTCTGTCAGATTCTTAGGCGTGTTTCAAACGTCGCGCTTCTCATGTGCTACCCTGGTTGCCAGAGGTTCTCGTATCTTTCGCCTTATTCCCGCCCGTATCTATTTTTCTCTTCGCCTCACGTAAAATAAATACGAGCGGGAATAAGGCGAAAGATACGAGAACCTCTGGCAACCATGGCACTCATGTGCCGAACGCATTAAAAACAATAGATAATCAGCTGAAATGCAGCTCATTATCTGCTGTTTCTAATGCGTTCGGCACATGAGAAGCGCGACGTTTGTGAGCGACCTTAGTTTCCATGTGTGTCGTAGATAATTCATACCTTGGTTGAGGATCGACATCTTTTGCTGCTGGTTTCTTCTCTTTATTTTCCTGCAGTATAGATAGTTCTTGTTGTAGAATCACGATCTTCTTGTGGAGATGGTTGTTATCTTGTTTCAGTTTCTCTGAAATAATTCTTTCTGCATCAAACTTGAGCAAGCGGGGCAATGCTTGGGAGATGTTAAGGAAAATACATATTGTTCTATACGCACATTCATCAATTTAGCAATTAGCCTTTCCCACGCTAGGTTCACCAGAGCGAAATTCGACTTTTTCGACGTATTTAAGATATCGCTTAATTAGAGCTCTAAGGTGTGCTCTACCACAGGTTGCACACCTCTGTAAAGATGGCCATATCTCTAACACAGTAACATAGTCTACAGCAGAGACACTCTCTAACATGGGCTACTTTCTAAAAAGGACACAAGCACACATCTCTAACAATGGCACCTATTTAAGACAGATCTCTCCAATATGGACACTTCCATAAGATGAACATATTTCTAATAGAATTGAAAGACATCAAGCAGATCAAAGACATAAGCAGATCACATCTTTAACAGACAGTCCTTGCCAAAACAGTAACCTCTCTAGCATAAACACTGCTCTCTGTAGCCATTATGAAGGCACCTCCCACACCTCTCTAATACACTGATATTTCTCTAACATGAGGATTAACCTGATATAACCTAAAATATGAAGACCACAGTTGAACACTAATTCTACTTTTCTAAAACTAAATTTGTTAATGTTTTCAGGATACGCATACTTTGAAATATTGCATTTAGAAAATTATGTAATGATAGTGGAAACGTTTCCTGCCACAATGATGAGAAATACATGTCTAAACTTGGATTCTGTTCCGGACTCTTGAGAAATGGCAACACTGCAAAGAATCAAAACGTCAAAATGTTGAAATATCTGACCTTAAGTAAAATATTATATTAGTACAATTGTGATGCCCAAAACGTCAGACATTGCTTTATATTCGGTGCCTGAGTTTAATTGTCTGTTAGTTTGTCCAGAATCATACATGTATTCAAGCATTGGCATTTATAAAACAAAATATGCCCTCTTGTATGTGGGATGGGTTTTGGAGCAGCTGACGTGCTTATTTTTAACCATTAAGTTGCATTGTGCCCTAATGCACCCTACTTTGTTATTTTACTCTGTCTAATACCAGACAATTTTACTAATTGTCAAGGGGCACTGGTGCTCAATAGGTCAATTAAACACTCCATGACTCTACCCATCTCAGTGAGACTATTACACAATAATCATTAAATTAAATTTTAAAATGTTATTACCAAACCATTCCTTCCAGTCTGCTTGATTTTGAAGTTCTGGTGCCATTTTCTCAAAGAAATCAGTCACTTTATCAGGTCTTGATGTCTGTACGGCATTTACCAAATAAAATCGATACAAACATTTCTCCAGTTTATGTGCGTTATAAAGATGCACGCTATCCAATCGAGAGAAAAACCTTCTCTTTAAATAACTCCAGTACTCCCGAATTCCTTGAAGATCATAGTATTGAACAAAAGTGATGAATTGCTCTACTATCTTGTTGACCTGAAAATTAAGGGCATGTTTAATACATATAAGATGTTTGTGCAATAATTCCAATGGACACTGCCTATTCAGGGAAGGATAAATAATTTTGCCAAATATTACCAAACCCACATATGCTTCTTCTGGGCCAAAGCAACTTATTGCGAGTCATTTTTCAGGTAGCTGTAACACGTGCATTTGCAGTTTTGGTAATACCAATGATCTTTGCCTTAGCTGTCCTATATATTCCTGATGCTGCCTAACATTTAAAGGTGCATTTTTTTATTACAATGAAAAGATATTTCACCTATATGTATAAACATGGCGAACAGACTGATTATCTGTCAAGGGATCTTGATGGATCTATGTCGATAAATATGGTATTAGGCCATATTGCAAGGTATCGGGAAATTATTTGTTTTCAGCACCATTTCAAGTTTAGATGACATTCTAGCTACTTCGTATGTATCTTTCATGCTACATGCTCACACCAAGATGGCTGATCTATCAGACAGACAACCTGTCTTGAACGAACTTTAATAAATCAGCAGAAATGATAATCCGTCATAGTATAAATCAACTAGAAACTTCGAGAGCATTTGACCGGTTCTACGATCACATTATTATTTCGGCTCATGTTCATATGTGAGCCAATCTTCAATACAATGCTATCTGTTATTTATGATATATTAATATAGTAACACATATATCAACATTTACATAAATGGCATTTTTTATAGTCTGAAATAGTTAGATGCACGCACGTTGGGAGCAATAATATTAACATGTAACATCTACAGATTTACTTATTAAAATACACAGTTCATTTTCCCATATTATATTTCAACTATATCTCTAAACCACCTAGTCCTGGTGGATTATAGTATTTAATTTCATGGCGCAAACTTGCAAATACGTTTTCTTGAATACTCACACGAAAGCTCTTGTCTTTGTCAAGTTTCAATTCGGCCTCAAATGTTTTCAAAGTGTTTGTAAATCCACGAAATAATAAATACTCCTTTATTATTTCATCCAAAGCTTTCACAGCTGCAGCCATGTTGTTTTCCTTTCGTTTTTTATACAAAAAATACTAAATTACATTTCTAAATTCTATTAAATATTATTTATCCTGAAACCGGAAGTTAATTTCACTTTATTACAGTAACTTCCTGTTTCAAGACTTTTCGAATGTTTGCCTCAAAAAGGTATGCAAAATGAGAAACGTGAAATATTCTTTTATCTATTTAAAAATTATTAATCATTTATATATTTATCTTGGCTGTTTGCCTCATTTACTCGTCAAAAGTATTTCTTCAAACTATTTTTTTTGCTAAAATAAAGTTCTATTCTGATCAAACGCGTTTTTCTCCTTTCTGAACATTACCAATTTCGTACCCAGTCCTTTGAGACTCGAAAATGCTCAAATTTGCGTTTTGGCCAGAGCACATGGGAGAGGGAAGATTTTGTCTAAAAAAATCATGTATTTTGGCCTTAACTGTAAAGCTACAAGAGTGATTCATTCTTTTTGGCAATCTAGAAATGGTATTCTCGATTTAAGGATTTAAAAGTGAGTAATTTTAGTTGGTTTTGTGTTTATACAAGTCGAACAGATAGTTCATTGTTTGCAGCCAGTATTGAAAATGAAAGTGAAAGATTGCATATTTACAGTTTTAAAAAGTGAAATTTATATGATATTCTACGATTTCCTTACATACATTGCTTTCATTTTATGACCCAAATGTTCATATCTTTAAAATTTTCATAGTTTTGTGGTTTGAACTGACACATACCATATTAAATTTGTTAAAAAGCTACATTGCATATTTTGCATTTGTTTATTAATCGTTTCTCAAGATGATGTACACCTGTGGCATGAATTGATATTAGGGTTGGGTCAAATATATACTAATGAAAAAACGAGGCTAGAAAACAAAGGGGTGGGAGTGAAAGCTGTGCTTGAAAAGTTGGTACCCAAATATATATGTTGTGCTTTAGCCTGCGTGCAGGCCCAAGGGAACTTGATAGTGGGCCTGCAACCATCACCCCATATTTTCGATTTTCGCCGGCCAAACCGCCGGCTAAATTCCCATTGGCTAGCTGAGGCGATCGGTAATTAATTAACCTAGCCCATTGTGCAGGCACAAGGGAACAGTGATTCATCACAAAGGCATAGACAAAGGCTCTCGATAAGCTTAAAATTTGAAAATTGATCACTTTTTTCGATTACAAATGGAACAAGAACAGACTGTTTATTGTTTACTTGAAGGAAGACATGTTTTTGCCGTTATGCCAATGGGGATTGCTTATCGTGAGGTGTTGGAATAGCAACATTATGACTGGGGTAAACTATAGTAACCTTTACTTGAGTTTCATTAATTTCAAACAGACTTCAGTTGATACGTTATGTGTTCTCACTTCCTCAAGAAAATTATCTTTTGGTTGATGTTGAGATGCAGTTGCATGTAAGAACTGTAAGCCTATTCGAAACACTTTGCGATTTACAAGGCTTCGCAGAGAGAGCGAAACAGAAGGCGGTATTAAATTGCCGTTTGAAACGAAACGATCTGGACTCGGAACGCTCTCTTCTTTTGTAGAGTTCTTTACCAAATGAAATAAATTTCGTACTTTCCGCCGCCAACAAGAATTGCACACACGATCTGATAAGTGAGACAATTTATTTATAACAATGCCAATGGCGACAGCGAAGCACACATAATATAAATCCTAATGTGGTCGCCCGACTTCCCTCATGATTTGAAGTTTGAGACTGGTTTTCTGTTGAAATTCGTCCTAATTTGCCTGTTCCGATTTCAGTTGAAAATGAGCACTTGCAAATTTGGCAATTACTGACTGCGTTGCTTGCTTTTTTGGAGTTAAAACGCAGCCATTTACACATTGTTTATTAGTGTTATGAATAAGCAGAGAAAACCCCACAACATTTTAATGCGAGTTTGTTTGTTAATATTTGGGTGCTGTCATTGGTTCTTTTTTGACAATTGACACGCGAATGGGGCGTGTTATGAAAAGGGCATATTACAAAATACCGGGCGATGGTTGCAGGCCCACTATCAAGTTCCCTTGGGCCTGCACGCAGGCTAGTTGTGCTTTGGGTCGTGAAATGAATGTACGTATGCCACAAATCTGTGCCGGAACATGCATCAATTCTGCATTTCCGTTCTAGCCTGCATGTTGTCTGAAACAACGGAAGCGACTGCGCAACAATGTAGCAAAACTTGCCTCAAGCTTTTCCTAGTCTTTCAGGAAAATAATTTATGCAAGCAATTAATATGCTAATTATGTGTCAGGACATTCATATGTAAATGCCAACATCGCACATTTACAAGGAATGCGAGTTTGACACAGAAAGGTTTTTAGAAACAATTACATAGTTTGCTTTTTACTACAAGTGAATTTTGGCTAGATTTGTACATCATCCATCTTAGTGTGAACAGAGAATGAACTTAATCGTCAAGGGGAGACTGTTGGGGCTCACTGGGTTAACCTTTATTTAAAACCAATCTTTTGTTTTGAAAGCTTGGAATTAAATTAAAAACATGGTGTAACCACAAACTGTTACTTACTTGCCATGCAAAGCTTTAAAGAAAACAATTTTTGTTGTTTTAAATGATTTTGAAATAAGTTTAATCCCAAAAATATTTCAATATGTTGTAGGTTATCTGTCCATTGTGGAAGTCAGTGAAGTCACTGCAACATTTCTTGCTTGAGTCTGTCTAAAGTGTTGTCAGAAACCAACACTTTCATTACATGATTATCCTAAACATGGGACAAGTTAAAAGACATAGAAGTAGAGCAACAAGATACAATGTATGTAATGATACTCTTATCACCACATCAACCACTACGATGTGAGCGTGCTTGCTTTTCTTATCATTTGGTAGTACTGCTTATGTCAAGAAAATGTTTAACCAACCAGCACTCTGGCATAGTGAGCCTGACTAGATTTTAATTTCACCTTTGCAGCCACTATGATGTGATCCTGCTTACCTTATTGGTAGTAACTGCAAATGGCTTTCCTTGTCAATTGGCTGTACTGCTCGTGTCAAGATGAGGTTAATGTCCCCAACACGCTATGTCAGCCTACATTTGTTTCCCAAATGACATAAAAAACAAATTCATTTCAAATTACCTTGAATACAACACTGCACCTTCATCTGTTACAACAAGCCTGGACAACTATGTTGACAATCAGCCAAAACTTTGGATTCACATCCTTATCCTGGTAAACATGGTGAAAGATTAACTAAATCATGATTATATTCACAATAATGGCAACATTTGATTATCCCGCAGGGTGACCATGCAATGGTTAGGGCTTGACGACCCCTCGGACCCGAGTCAAGTGGCAGACTGGTGAAAGTCTGCCATCAAGTGGCAGACTGGTTAAAGTCTGCCATAACACTGGACATGACATTAACAAACTAATCAACGACACAATTTGGGAACTACCTGTCATAAACCAGAATGTTGAAGTGGTCCCATCAACAACAATAACAAGAACTTGAACTACAGAGTACAGTATAAAAACAACAAAGAATTGACAAGATGTCAAAATAGTAAAACAACAGCAAATCAACAACAACAGCAATCAGCAACAACAACACAACAGCAGCATTGTTTATTTTGAAAGCAATGGAAATGAAGCAACAAGAAAAAACATAACAAGACAGAAACCATATCTACAACTGAATCAACCACCTTGCACAAAAAGGTTGATAGCAATATTTGTTTTTGACATTTAGGCGCAGTTACTAATTCAATATCAGAAACGATAACAACTGACAAATTTTATAATGTTACATGATGATTCATTGTGTATAATTATAAAATATCATATTTGGCAGGCTTTGTTCAGTTGGTGACGTTTCTGATGCTGAATTAGTGACTGTGCCTAATTGTCAAAAACAACTACTGTATTGCCATCAATTTTTTGTGTGAGGTTGTGTATCACATATAACTGATATGTTACGTGAAAGGCGAAGACGAGAAATCCAAAAGCATTAGCTAAAAACCAACTACAACTTGACATTTACAATGAACACCCAACAACACCAAATTTTGCAAAGAAGAGCCAAGCTACCAACAGTGGCAGGAAAGTCTTGCTCAGAACAGGAAAACAAGAATAACAGCAAGAAAACAAAAGAAGTACTAGGAAGAAGAGATGGATAGTTTTGAGAGAAAATTTTTTTCATGAGTAGAAAATGATCACAACGTGTGGGAAACGAAAGAAAACTGATTGAATCAACTACAGCAGAGGTGAAAACATAATTACGTTAACTTTGTTATTGAATATCTGGAGATTGCATCAGCAAGTTACAATAAACTACACAGACAATGTTATTGAACAGATAATTGCCATACGAAGTTGAATTGCCACCAGTTTAGCTTTCTGTATGGCTTTTATTCGGTTTCAGATTCTGCTAAACAGTTCAAATAAGAATAAGATCAACAACATATATTGAACATAATCACAGACGAACAACAATTCTAAGTAAAAATTCGACAGTAAAAGGGTTACGGTATTGGTCATAGAGGAATAGATATTTCTTGCTACCGAGTTTGAAACAGAAGTGAGAAATGATAAATTTGCATGAAGTAGAGACGATGACAAACAACGAACATTGATGATGATGATGAAAAATGATGATGATGAAGAAGAAACGCCAGGAATATATTCCAAGAAGCTTTGTAGCTTCGACATTAAAAGACGATTGACATCCATTTATTTGGAAGAACTTGAAACATAACGCGACGTGAAATAACAACTGCTTATACCAGATCCTCAGTTTGTATTTGGATTATTTGTCAAAATATCCCAACAAATATGCGTTTAAATAAGCAATATAATTGGATGGGAGTAGCTTATATTGTGTTTATCAATTTTTCGAATGCAATAGTTCCTTAATCTTCTGGTTGTTATGAAATCGAAACTGAAAACATCTACCTTGAATCGCAAATTAAATAATTATATAGTTTGGATTGGGGGTATGGAAAACAAAAATTCAAAAGCTGCTGGGATCGGGAAAAAAATATATAATTGTAAGCCTGTCTAATCTGACAACTATTTTTCTTTGTTTTCGATGCTTAAACTTTGCGTGTTCACTTCAACAATATCAGAAGTCGGGGAATAAATATGAAAGCTTGAAATGACAAGCTATTTAATCGTCGAAAACAAAGACTGAACTTTGACTGAACTTTATACTAGACGCTGTCTCTGCTATGCAATTTTACTTGACCAACTGTAGAGAAGGAAGAAAGTACAGTCTACAGACCTCGGCGAAAGACTGTGGATTTTTTACAACTACAGATGAATTCAACTATACATGTAGTTGTGCATACTATAGAAACTTTTAACATACTAAACTTTTACGAACAGTCATAGTGCATGTAACTTGCGTTAGTTAAATTATAGAAGTTAGAGTTTGTAGCCTCGTTGTAAAACAGTTGTGATTTTCAAGTAAAAGAATTATGAAAAATAATGATGCCTTTGTATTGATTTTTCATTGCATGGTATTGATTTTTCATTGGTATTGAAGACAGTAAAATGTCGAGGTTTTTGCATACCGTTTCTACGGCCTCGCCTGGTTATAATTGGCTGATAATTCTCTTTTTGACTTTGCCATCATAGTTAATCGTCCATGTCTTCTAACTGCGAAAACAAAATATTGCGGCCTGTACGCATTCAATCCATCAGCATTTGAATGTACCGCAGGGTGACCATTTAATGGTTAGGGCTTGACGAACCCTCGGAGCCGAGTCAAATGACAGACTGGTAAAGTCTGTTAAACTAACAACGGACATGACATTAAAAACTATTAAACGACAAAAATGAGCTGAAACGGTGTTCCCCGTATGCTGAATCCAAAAAATTAAATAAGGAATTGGACTGCCAATTGTTTTTGAAAGCAGATATTTGCAAGTGACCAGTTCCATCCACAACGACGAGAACTTAAGTACAGAATACAAACAACACCCAAGTTGGCGCAAACCACGATGAACAGTGTATCCTTCAATATGTTACAGTACGTAACATATGTTACAGTACGTAACAAGAAACAACAAGACAGTAACGTAAAAAGACAGTAACAACTACAAACTGAATTGATAAGAGAGACAATCGCCTATCGTATTGCCCTTAGCCAAAAGGCAGAAAAAACCTGACAATTAAACGAAGAACTAATCAAAACAACCTGTGGAAAGACAAGCAACCAACCATTGCAGGAAGAGTCCTGCTGAAAACACTAAAAGAAGAACACGAAAGTAGAAGATCGAAGAAGGAAAATGTATGTGATCAGAAAATAATCACAACACAGAGAGCAACAGTTGTGAGCAACATGTAGCCAGAAAACCAAATGAATTATCGCAACTGCAGCAGAGGGAAACAAGTGAACAAGATATTTGTAATCGTTTGGAAAGTGCGTGAGCAAGTTACAATAAAATACATAGACGGCAACGAACAGATCATTTGCCATACGATGTTGAATCGACAGATTTCTGTATGGTTTTTATCGCAGGTCAATATAACATTCTAACAACATCAAAATATATGAACAGATATCGGACATAATGACAGACGAACAACAAACAGTTCCAGGTAAAAAATGAGCAACGAAACGTTTATTGGTATAATAAATCGGAAATTTCCTGTACCGAGTGGAACAAAAGTCATGTGGATAAACTTGCATTGGTCAGAGACGAAAACGAACAACGAACATTGTTGATGATGGTGGAAATGATGATGGTGAAAATGGTGATGGTAATACTCAAAGAAACTTTACACGAACGTAAAACTTAACGTGACAATAACAACTGTTTACAATTGATTCCAGCTTGCTTTTGGATTCCCTTGTCAAAATTTTAACATTTTTTTATATAACACGTGTCGAAACAACCGAATTTGTTGAATGTAACTTCGTATATGTTTTGTTTATCAATTTTCGATTGCAATGATTCCTTACACTGTCAGTTTTATCAGATTGAAAGTCTAGCTTAGTGCCTTAGTCCACTCAAATTAACTAAAACAAAAATTCAAAAGCAGCTGGAATCGAGAGAAGAAGAGGAATGGAAGAAGAAGAAAAAAGGAAGAAATGGACTAGTACTATGAAGAATAACTTTATAGACTTGTCTAATTATACAACTATTTACATACTTCTCTTTGTTTTCGATGTTCAAACTGGGAGTTCGTTCTCGTATGAGTAAATATAATGCAGTTTGGTTTAACTACTCACTGTGTATAATACTAGGCTGTTTAATGATCGAAAACAAAGGGAAGTTATTTTTGACACTGACTAAACTTTTAATACTATAGACACTGTCTCTGCTATGCAAGTTCACTTGGCCAAGTGTAGAGAAGGGAAAAACTACAATCCTCGGAAAGTTTATTTTTTACAAAGATCACGCTGATTTTTATAATGGTCAACTAGTGTATACTAGAAATTTCGATCATAACTCATTAACATATTTTACGTTTACGAAAAGTCATAGAACATGTAACTTGCTTAGATTGTAGAATTTGAAGAGCTTGACGCCTCATTGCTATTTGCTGTAAACCAGTTGTGGTTTTCAATAAAATAAGAATAAAAAATAATCACCCCTTTGACTTTGTATAATTTTTGAAGACAGAACATTTAGTCTTCTAGTAGCAGTCTAAAGAAAATATTGTACAACCTTTAGTATTTATGACCAGTGCTATGTCCATGTGATGTCTGTGATGTATCGGCATTTGTGGAAGTTTGAAAATAGTTTTGTTTATTTTTTGTAGTGCTTTATATTTCCTAAAAAAGGGGATGGTTATCCATTTTTTAAAGGGAAAGTTTTCCTTTCATTTGTAAGGTTGATTTTCATTGATAAGTCAAGTGGAAGGTTCAGATGTATTACATTTATGCCCTTTTAATATCACAAAAATGAAAAAGTTTACAACTCCTAATATGAATGATTTTGGTAATGGTACTTATTTGGTACTCGTATAAGAATTCTCAGAAAGCCAGACGAGAGAAGTATTTCCAGAATAGTGAAAATCACTTGAGCACGGGTTTAAGCAGCATATTGTGTGGTCCCACAAATAATACGTGCAATGCAATTGCTAATCATTGTTATATAGGAGGTCAAGGAGGATTTGATGCGCTCTGTAAAGAAATTTATAAATTAAATCTTGATTACAAATTTTATAGACGCCGCCATATTGTCGCTGACGTCACAATCTCAATGCATTCTGCGCAGACTCGAATACTGTGAGAAAAACAAAATATAAAATATCATGGTGACGGTGAAGTGCTTATCTTTCCTTATTTCTTGTTCGTTTTTTGCGAAAATGTTGACAGCAGAGTGTTTTTCTTTGTCTCAAATACGCTCATGAAACATACAGGAGTCAGGCGGAATAAAGGTCGCGGAAAAAAGAAGAAAAAGACTCGACGGACTAAACAATACAAATTGTTGTGTTGACCGAGGTGTTGACATTGTTCGGGTAAAATATTGTTATATTCGCTGTTGTAAAACTTGATGACTCTGTCATAAGATGATGTTATGTTTTTGTTCATTTTGAAGGCTAATACTATCCGTCTTGTTGAACATTATAGTTTAATAAGATAGGGTTGGAATAGACCGTGGGGAAATGCCTAAGATTGAACAGAATAGGTGGTCGTGCAAGCACTGTACGTACGATAATTTTCCTGCTTCTACAAAATGTGCCTTGTGTATGTGCAAGCGAGAAGATGACGATTTAGATCAGAATTTAAACGACTGTATTCAAGAAGAAAGCGTTCCTGAGAGTGACAAAAATAAATGTTCTGAAACTGCTGACCAAGTTGATTTGCTTCAAGGCCGTTGGGCTTGCTTGTCTTGTACTTATCTAAATTGGGAAAACTCTGTGAAATGTGTAATGTGTACGAATGAAAGGCCAAATGACTTTGTACCTCGGTCTGAGACCATAGATTCATTGGCAAAAAATCAGCCTGAGAAGCATGATGATCTGACTGTGAACAACAATGAGAAAAACAAATCAATTTCTAAGAATAAACAGAAATGGACATGCCCACAGTGTACATTTGAAAACTGGAACCAATCAAAAAAATGTTCTTTATGTTGCTGTCAAAAACCAAAGCCTGATGAATCTGTGATTTTGAACACAAAAAACTCGCAGAATGTTTTAAATTTGAAAAAGAGCGGACGTCAGAGAGCCAGACCTATGAAAGGTAAATCTGTTGCAGCTGCTATTCAACCAATCACAAGCGAGGATGAAGAACAGTTGATCTATGGACTATCTGCAACAAGCATATCGGCTGTTTCACAAATAAAGAACAATTTAAAGGAATCTGATTGGATGTGGCTAAGTGCTTGTATCGGAGTGGTTGAAGGGGAACCATCATCTGTCAAGATGTTTCTTTCGTCTGGTGGTAGTGCAGCTCGAAAGTTGACATCTGATGAAGTTTTAGTTTTAAATCGTCCTGGTGTGTTTGAAGTTGGGGACACCTTGGTTCATTTGGCGATACGATATCATCAAGATGATCTTCTTACGATAATGGTACCACATGAGGTATCAAGGAAGACATTTAAACGGATGCCGTGCCATGTTAGCCCAGATCTTGCAGCAAGTGTTCGGAAACAGGCAGCACAAGGTTTAAGGCAAAGGAAAGGAGACTGGCCATGTTATTTCTATACAGATTTAGTTACATTCACTTTGCCTGGTGGTAAGAAATTATCATTTTATTGTGTTTTATGTTATCAATTATATGAAGGCACAGTGGGTCATTCTAGAAAAAGTTGAAGCCTCCCCCACAGAGAAAATTAAAAGTTTACCTCTTTCAAACATCCTAGTACATTCTATTACCAGAAGTAGATTCCCTCCTCTTGATGGTGTTGGAAAAATGATGTTGGGAAAATACATGAAATTCTATATTAATTAAATTGATAAAACTGAAATTTCATAGTCTACATCACATTTGAAAAAATTCTCTTGTCCAAATTATTTTTTAAAGACCATGTAAAGTCCGTTCTGCGCATACGTTCTGCGCAGGCTTACATTCCAAATTATGGTCGGGACCCGACCGTTGGAATGTTTTTAATATTTTGTATCTTTTGAACTTTCTTGAATTGAATCTCTAGTCTGTATTCATTTACAAGCATAGCGAACCAGAAGAGTGTTAAAAATTCAGTATAATGTGTATCTAATCATATTTTACAACTGTAGCACTGAGTTCAAAGCGTTTGTTTACATTACAGACTTTACATGGTCTTTAAGGGTTAACAATTTATGCATTTTTATTGTTTATGTAAGAACTACAAGACTTTCCTGGTGCAGTTCAGCAATATGCCCTTGATGAGGTTGTGGACCAAAATGTTCAGCGAGGTTTGTAGACCTCTTTGTATCAGGTCATGTTAAGCCACCCACTGTATTACTGCAGACAAGACTACATTTTGATTCAAATTCCTATTTGATTAAATTGCTTATTGAGAATGTTTTATTAATAATTAGTTTTAGAAGTGGAATCGATTATCAATTGGAGTATGGAAATAACAAATCAGTTTGACAGTCGTGTGTATGCATTGTGGAACAGATCCGCTGGTGATTGTCTGTTAGACTCAATATGTCAGGCGACATGGGGGATATTTGATCGTGAAAATGCTTTGAGGAATGCATTGTATGTCAGTTTGAGTGAAGGTGCTTCAAGGTATGAACTCAACTTCCTTTATAAATATCACATTATATTGAAGGTCATTGTTGCAAGTTGTTGTGTTTGTATAAGGTCAAATAAGCTAAATACTTGCATGTTAATTAAGTTTATTTTCTAAAGAATATTCACATACTGTGCACAAGAAAAGAGGAAGAGAAAAAAATGATCTCAGTGAGTATTTTTGTCCGCCATGCAGGTTTTTTCCTCGTTGGAAGGAGTGGGAAGAAATGCAAGCAACCAACATGCAGTTCACATTGGATGAAGATCAGTGGGAACAGGACTGGGCATCAGTCCTTTCTCTTGCCAGCCAACCTGGGGCTTCGTTAGAGCAGATGCATGTGTTCGCCTTGGCTCATATTATCCGTAGACCTATCATCATTTATGGTGTGAAGTTTGTGAGGAGTTTTCGAGGCGAGACCTTGGGACTGGCACGATTTCAAGGTAGGTTGTGGACTGGTTATCAGACTTTTGCTTCGACATTGTGGACAGTTGTGAGGTCTGACTGATCTAGATACCCATAAGTTACCAAGCATAAGTTTGAGAAATAAACTGATGTGATTTGGACTTTTAAGGTGTATATTTGCCCTTGTTGTGGGAGAAAAGTTTCTGTTGGAAAAGTCCAATTGTTCTTGGCTACACAAGAGGACATTTCTCGGCACTCGTTGCTATGGAGACTGAACAACATGGTGCTGGCGGTGCTGGTGCTCATATAGATAACAGCGATGAAAGTCACATGACATATTTACCGCTGGTTGATCATGAATGCAACCCGCTACCAGTGCATTTTCTTAATGGAGCTGAGGTAGGTACATATTTCATACACAAGTTTATTAATATCATTTTATAGTTTAACAGGTCCTTCATTGAAAGCAGGCGATATAGCCTGACGAAGTAAACCTGTATAAATATGTCAATTAATAATAATAATAAACAAAACAATGGTCTATTCACCCTGTGGTTCACCAAAATTCTCGCGGTTCTCGTTTGACAAGTGAAAGGTCAGGCGAATTTCACCAGCCTAAAATGAAAACCCCTGTCCTATGCCCACTGCCCAATTTCCCGTGCTGAATTTCCTCAGTGAATTTGCTTCGTATTTCATTGACAGTTTGTATTATTTAGCTTGGAAACGAGGATCAATTACTTCGTGAATGGTTGGACTGCCACATGACGAACGCTGGTATATTGGTGGCTGAACAACAAGCAACACCGAGATCTGCACTGGTGAGTCAGTTAATGGACGAATGGTTGGATAGGTATAGGAAAATGAACAAAAAACAAAGAGATGGTAACGGAAAGACGTAAATAAAGAGAGTTTTTGACTGCCTAGGATTTTTTCATTACAATACATGGATTTACGTCTATAAAGTAACCCTTTTTTGTGTGTTGTCGAGGTGGTATCTGTTAGGTTGGTACACTCAGTTCAATAGGCTGTTTATCCAATGTACCAACACTAATCCCAAATTTGATTTGTATATGTGTAATATTTGGGTCGCTCTAAAAAAGCTCGTCTTGATCAACTTTTTACTGTTAAAATTTCTGGAAATGATGTCTAGGTGAATGTTAGCAGTGAAAAACGAATTTAGAATTAATCTAGTGACGTCATATCCTGCAACTTGAACCAAAATATTACACATACCTAAGGTCGTATCTGAGATTAGTGGCAATGTTAGAATGTCATGGCAAAGGATATTCTATATGAAGTTGGCGTGTTATGTAACTGCGACCGAATATGATGTTGGACAGTAACTATTACTATTAGGTTTATTGTGTATATAAATATCCTGTAAATATCGATCAATCATATTTAGGTTTGTAGTTTAAATATTAAAACTTGTAGGAAAGTATTTTATATCCATTATGATCAAGTTGTAACTTCTTGTGGCCTCGATATAAAGTCCGTTTTCCACTACGCGAACTTTTTCTTTTTTCGGCATCGCTCCTGCTGACGTGATAATGCTGACAAATGAAGAATTGGAAAACTTTGCGCGAATGAATTCGCCTAGTGGAAACAGGCGTTTGAACGTCCGATCCGTAAATTGTAAATGCACCGCTCATTTGGATTTCAAAGTTAGCAGAACATCGCAGCCTCCTGGTATTTTTTACTCCCCCATCCTTTGTCAAGGACCATTGGTAGTTTAGCCAATTGATGTTACCATCCTCTACTTGACCTCTTGGTTGCGTTAAATGACATCTACAGAAAGAACACGTAATTCATATTGCAATGTATTATCACAAATCTCCAAATAGAAGCCGCCCACCGTATATATACATTTATCATGAGTTTACCTATACAGTACCTTACCATATTTCTAGTCGTCCCAGAAAATGATCTAGACCTGTTTAATGCCGGTGGTGCAATGACAGGTTTAACTTTCTCTGGTATGAGATTAGTACCTCGAGTTAAACTTCCCGGACACCATGCCCTAAAAATAAAATAAAATAACAATAGACTTTACAACGAATACACTTACTTCGACGTTGCTACTGCGTTTGTGAAATGACGCGAGAGGGCAGGCAGTTACCCAGGCAAGCGATCCCATAGGCGGTCTAAGAAAACATTTTATACAAACAACAACTCGCCACGACCACGTATCACTTTTTTGTCACTTCCACGAAAATAGATTCAGACTGAACCCATTTTTTGTAACCCGTTTAGGCAAAGGTACTACCGATTACGTTTGTATTTAATTGTCGCATTTTGGCAAGGTCAGACAGACATTTTGACTTGCAGTTGGACGTCGCAACATGATTTGTGACATTGTGTATTATATCACAATCTTACCTTTGTGTGAGAGTTGGACTCGGAGGAGCTCTCTTGCCCGTTCCCTTCTTTCGAAGAAATTCTTCGAAAGTTTTTTCACATTCTTGACGTTTTTCCATCTCCGCTTCTTTTTCATATTTTGTTTTCAATTTGTCTGCTTGTCTGGAACTCCGACTCTCCTCTTTCAGTTCTTCGTCTTTTTGTGATTTCCTTGCAACGAAAATTGAAAAAAAATTAAAGGAATGGATGGCGGAAACTCGTAATCTGGGTTAGCCACCTTGGGGAAACGTAGTTAGGAAACAATGCTTCCACAACCATTAGGCATTACTTTTATAAATGGCTTCATGCCTTTACCATTTATCGAAAGCTTTCTTCGCTATTTCAATCTTCTCTTTATGATCTTCAATTTTCCTTTGTTTGTCTTCTCGTTCTTTGGCTTTCTTGTCTTTATAACTGTCCTTCAACACTACGTCTTTTTTACTTTTCCACGATTCAAAGAATTTCTTAGCGTCCTGTTTCTTGATAACCTTCTCTCGCTTCTCGTCTAATTCTTTGTTTTTAATTTCTTTCTTATTTTTCACTTCAGTTTTAATCACGACCTCTTTCTTTGAACTCCATGCTTCAAAAGCTTTCTTTGCCTGAAATATGCAAAAGCAAGACGCATCTAGCCGACCCGTTGCTCTGAAATCAATTTGTTTTTCTAGAGTGATTTCTGATATAGTCGAGGATTTGAATAGAAGTATCTCCCATATTCCATAAACTACAGACGAAATCGCAAGTATAGTGGAGAATAATTACCCAGAGGTAAGATAGTCCTTTTTCTCCCTTAAAATACCGTCCAACCTCTATTATGTATTGTAAACACCTTTGATAATAGTATATGGCAATACAACCTGGGGAGGATTGGACGAACCAACTTAAAAGACAGTCCAGTGAAATAGTTTACTGTTTCCGCTAAGATAATCAGTGCCAATGTCTTAAATATTTTTTAGAGAGGTTAAGAATAAGATTGACGTGTACGACAGACTGCAAACTTCAAGTCATATTTTGAGGTTAATTGTTGGTTGTTCGAATTTAGGACAATTTGTGCACTAAAATTGAAGGCTGATGCATGAATTTGCTAAAAATTTGCCGAAACTTTCAAAAACTTGTAAAACTTACCTTCAAATGCGTTTGTGCATGGTTAGCGATCTTAAGGCAGGGGTAAGGAATTTGAGACATTTGAAATTTTTCTTAAACTTTCGTGCACGTTTTTCTGTTTCTACGAGATAATCAGTACAATTGTTTAAATATTACCAAAATATTCGACAAACTAGCTCCAGTAAGTATCCCAGGGCAAAATGCCTAGTCGCTCTCTTGCTCCAGAGCATTGCCATTGAGCTTATTTGTTAAGGCCGACTGACGCACAACTTTTGCCTAAAACTGTCGCATGCAACCTGCTTACGACAACGTAGGCCAGTCCGCCAGTTGTACGCTTGATTTACACACTCAGTACAACTCAAGTTGTAAGCAGGTTTGCATGCGACAGTTTTAGGCAAAAGTTGTGTAGTGTAATTACGAATTTGTTTTGAACATTACCAGTATTTCCTTCTCTTGTTTTTCCTTGATCTTTTCTTCTTCTTTCTTCTGTTCTTCCACTTTCTTCCTAACAGCTTCCTTCAATTTTCCCCGTTTCTTCTGCAGCCACTCTGCGTAGACAGCATCTCTGATACCGCGTGAGGAGGTAAATCCAGATCTAGAGCTATCCAGACTCTCCTCTTCCTGATCAAACTGAGAGTTTTTCCAGCTATTCAAATCCGTTAACGAGGAAGATCTTCCCTTACTTCTTGAAAAGGTGTCATTTTGAGGCGAATCTCTGCTTTCATACTTGAAGTTATACATATCTGGAGACTTTGCCATTTCATTCAAAGATTTTTGGGCTTTCATGGGAGATCTTCCCTTGTTTTCCGTACCTTCAAGACAATATAAGCTAAATGTTATAATTAAGAATTTTTTTGTATTATAATTAAGAATTAGTTGCTTTTCAAGCTATTGATATACGGTAGTAAACATAGTATAGCTAAGATCATTGGGAAATTAAAAGAAATCAAACAAGATTTCGTCTTAATTGGTCAATACTAAAACAAGCAGTTTCTTATAGGGGAGGATAAAAAAGATATAACTCTCACTCGATTGGATAGCGTTATCAAATAGAACTCACCGGTTCTTATCTAATAATCAAATGTTAGGTTTAAAATCATAAGGTACTGAGACACATATAGAAGAAACTAGACCAAGCTCCGAAATATCAACTATTCGAACCGGCCTGACCGTCACATATTCGGCACAAACTACAACCTCTATAAGATATTAGGCCTACCTGTCAGGCGTCTGCTGTGATGGTGAGTTCTGTCTTCTTCATCGTCTAGGACAATTTCATTGCTGACTGGTACATGGTCTTCAAACATGTCTGTAACATTTCCCTTCCTATCACGTTCTTTCGTATCTTCATACCTGTCGTGTCTACTTCTAGAATAACCCTCGCTTTTCCTACTAAAACCATAATTCTCGTGTTCCTTCTGTTCCCATCTAGGAGTTCCGCCTTGGCGCCTAATTGAAGCTTCGCCTTCCCGCCTTGGAGTTTCACCTTCCCGCCTTGGAGTTCTCCGTTCCTTGGCTCGACTTTCAGACATTGTGTCATCACGCATCTTCTGTTTAAATTCTCTAGAACTATCACCTCTCGAAGGATCATCTCTGAAATGTTTTTGGTGTTGTGTATCACTACCATCCCGACCATGAAATAATTCCATACCATCCGAAATTCTGTGACTTCCAGAATCATGATCTGCTGTTGAACTGTTATTTTCTGAGAACTTTCTGTCATGACGCCTTTGCGGAGGCTGTGGGCGTTTTTTATATTCTGAAGTTCTTTGTTCTGAATCACTTTCATCTAAGGATTTTCCTTTCCGTGGACTACTGGAGTTCAGTTTATTTCTCGGACTCCTTGGAGCCTTCTTTGGTGGAATTCTTTCATTGCTAGAGTTTCTATCATTGTTAGATTTTTTGTCACGTGATTCCGAGCCTCTCCTTGTTGAATCTTTACTGGCGTTGACATCACTAAACGAGACACTTTTACTGTTCTTTCCCATTGAATCAAAAAGCTGATCAGCAGTTACCTTGTTAGAGTCTGTTGTTTCATTCAGTTCCTTATTTTCGTGATCTTTTTCTCTTGGTTTTGAACGAGGACGTGGAACTGGCCTTGGTGATGTGATCGTGTCATCATTCTTCTCTTTTACTTTTTCACCAGAAAATAATTTGTCTGGGGAATCTTTTCGGCCAGAAAATAATTTATCTGCTTTGTCTTTTACGCCAGAAAATAATTTATCTGCTTTGTCTTTTCTGTCTGAAAACAAATTCTCTGCTTTGTCTTTTTTGTCTGAAAACAAATTCTCTGCTTTGTCTTTTCTGTCTGAAAACAATTTATCAGTCGAGTCATTGGCTAGTTGATTTTCGGTATTTAAAAATCTTGTTTCATGTCGAGGTTTTGGCTTAGGTTTTCTTGATCTGTTAAAGGATTCATGTTTTTCATCACCTGAAAAAATGGTACAGACGAGTACAGTTTAACCTATTTAATCCTATTGCAATGCAATTATGGTGTTATTGACAGTTGTTCATTGCCTATATGTCCTGTATGAAGCGTTTACTGTAGTTCAAAATCCTTGTTTTTAGTCTTACTTAGTTCAAAATTGTTATTTCAATCATACTTCTGTCATTTAGTCCAATGAGCATTTAAATTTCTGGAGGGTGTGTGTGTGTGCAAATTTCTCTACATGGGGTGTGAGAATGTTCTGAGGAGGTGCAAAATATTTTGGGGGGTGTGCATCCCCTTCCAGAAAATCTGTCTATGGAATGCTATATATTAAATAAATTAGCTTGTGTGTTGGTCAATGCTGACAAAGAGCACCCTCTGCATCCTTTACTTGACTTATTTTCGTGGGGGTGGATCTATGCTTGTCTGGCAGGCATGTGTGCAGATTTTCTATGTGTGTTTTAATTTGATAGACATTGGCGGAGGTGGGGATGGTGTAACCATTGGATAATATATTAACTTTTTCTGGGGATACTCGTACTGGGATTGTAGGAGTGTCCTGATCTGGTTTATTATTCAATGTATCGTAGTAGTAGTGATACAATAAAATGTCGTATCTCTATATCAGCATTCTATTATTATCGACAGATTCCCTGTCGGCTGTCACTGGACTGCAAACAGTCCCAGTACTTTCCTTCACTTGTGAACCGAGATTGGTGGAAGGAAAACAAAGGATGATAAAGCGACAGTTTGCAGTCTACAGTGGCACAGCCCAAACAATTATGCTGAGCTGACAAGCAGGCCAGCTTGGTGATGCAATCATTCCACTCACATACGGACATACCCAATACCTATAAATTAAATCACTCACTTTTCAAATCTCCTTCTATAAGCCTAGATAATGACTCATCATCTAGTATGATCTCATCATCTTCAGATTTTATTTTACTAGTAAGCTTGCTGTCTTGTTCTATTAGCCATGCATTCATATCAATATTTTCCTTGCTCGACCCACGTTTGATCGTCCTGGAAAAACTGCCATTCGGATCTTTTGGGAAATCTGATTGTTGCCAACTTGATATAACAGTCTCCTCCTCCTCCATTTGTGCAAAAGTTATAAACCCTTAGAAAACCCTGGGATAAAAATTTTGTACAAATTACAACCAATGACAAGTTACAGTTTCTAAAAATATAGGCCGGTTTATTTGCCTTGAAATTCCACGCCCGCCTCATTCGCCATTGCTGTTTATTGCTAGTTGTTTTAAATATTTTTATCAGTTGTCCGAAACCTTGTAAATAACCTCAAATTATCGTATTTTTGTTGATATTTTCCTAACTACACGTTGACGACCGATTCTGTATATTTTCAAATTCAACAATGTAAACAAACAGCAGTGAATGCGCATGACAAAACTATCACGGAATGCTGTACAAAAAGATTGCATCTTCTACTATAAACACTGACCTTCGTTAGAAACTGAACTAACCTGATTTTGATTTGGTCAACAACAAAATTCATACTGTAATATACTATAGATATTAATGGTGTGTCACAGACCTATTATTTTATTAATATATACAAATCATTACAGACATATGTAATTTATGGTATTGTACAATTTATTGGTACTGGACTAGTCGACGTAAATCCAGAACATATTGTATATATCACAACTGGAAACTCGACTCAGTTTAAGTGAGCAAACTGACATCAAGCACACAAAATGTTGCTCTACATGTGGGGCATGGTGATGTACTTGACATCCAGTTTCCAGGTGTGCTCTGATCTTGACGACTGGCAAACCATTTCCCCATGCATTCTAAACACCACATTGGACGACAGAAACATTGCACGCAGGTGCCAACATCGGACAACGCACACAGCTTTTGAAGTTTGATGTTTGATTCTTGTTGCATGCAACCGATGCATGGCTCGGGGACCTACAAAACCAACAAAACATAGCCAGTGGGCCACATAGCATAGACAAAATGCATTGTTAGGCAGTCAAATGACTGCGCAGTAAAATGTTTGGTTACTCTACAGAAACGTTGAAACTTTTCAACATAGTTTTGAGGTGCAGTACTAAAGTGCTAGACATGTTACTGTATGTCTTTTGTGGCAGTTTCAGTACAGCTAGTGCTTAATGCATAAATGAGTGTTGTTAATAATGTTCCTGAACAAAACATGTGTCTAACATGAAAATTAGAAAGCGTACCTCTGTATTTCTATCAATATGAAATCGCTGATTTTGCTCCACCTGCTCTTTAAATGCCTTGACAAACTGATCACTGAGTGACTGATGAATGACAACATTTCTCGCATTTACTATCGGGGCATGAATCTTTTCCTTCAGTTCAGAGTAGTCTAATGAATTTAGCCGTATGACAAATGGCTTTACAGCAGAATTTATACTTGAGATTTGGATATTAAGAAATTGTACTGCACTATTTGTCTCAATTGAGATCTCATGGTTTTCTGCTTTTAAAATATTCAAGTGAACATCGGGCTTGTGAGCTATGTCAACCCTATATGCAGAGCATTTAATAATCCACGAGTCAGTAATGTAGACACTTGTCCCACCAATGTGGCTGGAAAATTTATCAATCCGACGAAATTCAATGTTTATCCTTGCTGCAACGTCAATCCAAGGGTTTCCATGGTGACTGAGGGTGTTTACTAAAGGATGATTTTTCCTAAAAATTCAGAGTAAATGGATTGAACAATGAAATAAATTGTACACACAACATGTTCTTCTCAATTAAAGAGTAAACTAATCTGGTGTGAGGCATAATAAATAACAATTAAATAGGGAGCATTAGGGCACAATGCAGTTTAAATAGCTAACAGGATTGAGAGTTTTCTAGACAAATCATCTGGTCAACCCATTAATTAACGGCCATCACTATATGATAAGTGATTGTGGACTTGTGGGCCGATAAAGACTCGGACACTCTGAATCATAGTTGGATAGCTCCCCTGACCTGCTTTTTCTGTATCGTCAATCAAAATGTGTGTTAATGTATCAAGCCTGATATTATATTGTAAATTCATAAAATTACCAGTTCTTCCGGGACCAATATAGCGCAATCAAAACAGCGGCAAGAAACACAGTAAGTGAGAGTAACAAGAAAACTGGAGCTATTAATCCATTTCTCTCATGAAAACTGAATAATTTGAGATCTGGTGATACTAAACCTAAGGAAATGTAATAACCTGCAAATTGAAACAAAAATATATTTAGTTCTTTTTTCATAAATATTGATACAGTCCTCAGTCCTGGTTTGATAATTGATACATCAATACAGGGTCTGAGCACGACACACATGAATCGTAGCATTGCGTAGTTAATAATAACATCCGGGTGCATTACAAGGCAGTATACTCACCCAAAGGTAGCAATGAATGAAAACGTATTGTGACTGCAGTCCTTTTTAAATGGAAGGAAATAAAATGCAAATCTTCCATGCCAAGGTAGGATGAAAATAAATTTTGAACTGTTAAACCCAAACTCACAAACTCTCTTGGAGGCACAACCAGGCATACAGCCACAATAAAATAACCTAGGCTGAAAACTAGTTCCCTTTGGGCTTCCATTCTATTTCAAATGTCAATAATTTAATTTTTAAAAATAGCAATGCTACGTCATCATGTATCTTTTATATCCTGATATGTATATAGATCAGTGGTGATTCCGGCGTTTTCCGATAGATTAACATAATTATGAAAATACTAAAGTTTTATAAAACTTTAACAGATATATCTGCATTTAACAGCTTTAATACATAAAACGACTTGTATAGAAGTGAATGTTGTATTCTTTTTACGCAAATTGTTGAAATAGTTTTTAAAAATCCACAATTTTGCCAACATTATAAAGTCAATAATCGGAAGTGATCGGAATTGCAATGGCCATGGGAAGTACTGCTGACCCTATGCGCCAGCAAGTCATGGAAACACGTTGTTGTTGTTTACAAATTACAAGCGTTGATATTTATATTTACACCTTTTCGACAATGCGATAAACAATGGAAATAAATGCAGTTCTTGACAGACACGGGCTAGCCAAGTCAGGACTTTGGTATGTTTTATCCCCAGAGAACGAGGGACCTTGTGCACGAGTGGGCCATGCATGTTGTGTGTTAAAAACGTCAGCCAACATTTTGAAAGATTGTCCTGTTGACAATCAGAACTCTGACAGTTTGCTGATCCTTGGTGGAGCCAACCCAGATGGAGCATTTGATGATGTTTATGTCCTTGATTTTGGTGAGATTCATTTTATTTTGGTCACAAGTATATTGCTATAGTTAAATTTATTCCCCCACCCCTACTCCCATGGGACACCCCGGGACCAGATGTTCAACAAAATTTCCCACCCCCTGGAAATATTGGTGTACAATATCCTGGGGATTCAGGAGGGATTATGGGAACAGGAGGAATAGAATCGTGCATGAATTTGCTTTTAAGCATGACAAAATATCTGTCCACTCCTGACTCATCTGAAGAAGCTCTATATGCCACTACTTTGCAATAGTTTTTGTCAGGAGAAACATGCTTCCAGACTAGCAGGTACAAGGCATTCATTCAGGAGCATGCCATTAGGAAAATGATTTGGGAAAGGGGAACAGAAAAGAACATAATTTGTCCAAAGAGGGAAAGCAAAGAAAAATACCTTTTATAATTCTGCAAAAAAAATTCCAGCACAAGCAGACAGAAAAAAATCATGCAAGCTGAAAATCCCCCCCCCCCATTACTTTTCTAATGAAGAACCTTGAATGATTGAAAATACTTCTCTAATTGATTGTTGATGCACAGAGCAGTACAAGTGGTACAAATGTGAGTGGCAGGGTTTGCCAAAGAGGTACGAACATTTGGCCTTTATACCAGAGCATGCATCAAGTGAAATTGTTGTATTTGGTGGAGCACAAATGGACAACAACTTAAATGATGTGCAAGTATTGGAAAAAGGTAAAATACTAACAAACATTGGATGAGTAAACATTATATATATTTTATAGTATTACTTATTGGTAGGTGTTTAATAGGTATAATTACAGTTTAGTTTCCTAATGAAAATGTGTAATTACTATTTAGTTTCCTAACATCAGTACTCATATGTTATCCACAAAGCTACTGATCAGGGTTTCCAGTTTTATGTGAAAAAAGTGTTAGTGGTGAATGACACAAACTTAGGCTTCCTGGGAGCATAATTTCCCAGGAAACCTGATATTTTTTATGCTCTAAGAGAATGTCATTTTTTGATATATTCTCATGAAATTTTTTTAACAAAGTCATTACCATGTTACAAGACTGCATGCACAAGTTGATTAGTAATATATGTAGCAATTTCGTAGTTAAATAAAACGCAAAACAATGGTCTGTTCACCAAAATTTTCGTAGTTAAAGCTCTGGCCGCTAGGCATTTTTAACCCTATACGGCATTTTTAACCTTATTTCTGGTGGCCAGAAACCCTACAAAATTAAAAGTTAATATGTAATCAGATTTCAAAAAAAGGATAAATAAATACTACTTCTTCTGGTGAATTTGGACGTGGCTTGACTTAAACAGACATATTCCCATTCTTATTCTCATTAATATCACCAAAGACGCACGCAAAATGACCATTGGCTGGTAAAAATGTTTTGCGCGAGTTTTTATTCTCCATTAAATGATGTCACAGACACCATACTAATTAATATCCCACAATCCCTTGTTTTTGCGCAAGGTATAAAAACGCTGTGATGTCATAATGTAGTTTGTCTTAATTGATTGATTGAGACTGCGCACTTATCGTATTTCTCGCGGAATTTTTCCAAACCTTTTTTGTGATAAAACAAATATGGCTGAATTTGAATATTACGAGGATTTCGAATGCGAAGAGGCTGAGGAAGAAATAGTTCAAGAATTATTAAAGTTCGGTATCTATGGAGAGCAAACTACACTCGATGGTATTCTTGAGGAAGCCGAAAAAAATTTGAACGACACTAAAGCTCGCGTTGCATACCTTAAAACTTTGTTCGGGGATCAAGATAACACAGGTAAGAGATAGTAGATACAATCTATCTTGAAACAATTTTATTATAAATAACGTTTAACAATTTTACCGCTTTCTGATTCGCGCTTCATGCGCAAGATAAATTAGTTTTTACGTTGCTATGCAACTATCTCATTAACTCCACCGTGATTTCATTCGCGCGCAAACTTTCAGGTTTCATTAAAATGCGAGAGCGCTTGTGGTTGCTTCGCATACAAGGAATATAACGCGTTCCAGTTTATGACAGAACAATACTGAATGTGTATTGATTTACATTCTTTTCATTGACGTTTAGGTGAGAACCATCTTGGTATTGTCCCGGATTCCGAAGCAGTCCCTGGTACAATTAAAGAACCTTCGATGGAAGCAACACTTGATGTCTCCCTCTCAACATTGCAAGCAACGCACCATGATGATACAGGAGGCGAGCGCGAACCTGATGCTCCTTCAAATACAGACACTCCTACGACGTTGGTTCATGGTGGCAACGAAGCAACACTTGATGTCTCCCTCCCAACATTGGAAGCATCGCAGCATGATGACACAGAAAGCGAGCACAAACCTGATGCTCCTTCAACTACAGATACTCCTACGACGTTAGTTCATGGTGGCAACGAAGCAACACTTGATGTCTCCCTCCCAACATTGAAAGCATCTCATCATGATGATACAGAAGACGAGCACAAACCTGATGCTCCTTCAAATACAGATACTCCTACGACGTTGGTTCATGGTGGCAACGAGGCAACACTTGATGTCTCCCTCCCAACATTGGAAGAATCTCACCATGATGATACAGGAGGCGAACACAAACCTGATACTCCTTCAAATACAGATACTCTTACGACGTTGGTTCATGGTGGCAACGAGGCAACACTTGATGTCTCCCTCCCAACATTGGAAGAATCTCACCATGATGATACAGGAGGCGAACACAAACCTGATACTCCTTCAAATACAGATACTCTTACGACGTTGGTTCATGGTGGCAACGAGGCAACACCTGATGTCTCCCTCCCAACATTGCAAGAATCTCACCATGATGATACAGGAGGCGAACACAAGCCTTATGCTCCTTCAAATACAGATACTCCTACGACGTTGGTTCATGGTGGCAACGAAGCAACACTTGATGTCTCCCTCCCAACATTGAAAGCATCTCATCATGATGATACAGAAGACGAGCACAAACCTGATGCTCCTTCAAATACAGATACTCCTACGACGTTGGTTCATGGTGGCAACGAGGCAACACTTGATGTCTCCCTCCCAACATTGGAAGAATCTCACCATGATGATACAGGAGGCGAACACAAACCTGATACTCCTTCAAATACAGATACTCTTACGACGTTGGTTCATGGTGGCAACGAGGCAACACCTGATGTCTCCCTCCCAACATTGCAAGAATCTCACCATGATGATACAGGAGGCGAACACAAGCCTTATGCTCCTTCAAATACAGATACTCCTACGACGTTGGTTCATGGTGGCAACGAAGCAACACTTGATGTCTCCCTCCCAACATTGAAAACATCTCATCATGATGATACAGAAGACGAGCACAAACCTGATGCTCCTTCAACTACAGATACTCCTACGACGTTAGTTCATGGTGGCAACGAAGCAACACTTGATGTCTCCCTCCCAACATTGGAAGCATCGCAGCATGATGACACAGAAGGCGAGCACAAACCTGATGCTCCGATCTCGTTTTAAAGAAGTGCAGACTGTGTCTGACGTACAAGGCGAGCTCCCGCCCGTCACAGATGATTCAAATGAAGATAACAAACTTTCAACGATTTTGGTTCATGGCGATGCCAAGAAAATACTCGATATCTCCCACCATGACGAAGTAGAGATTGTTATCGTGTCAGACAGAGGCGAGATCAAATCCAGCGAGTCTTCTGATGTTGAGGTCTGGAACGACGGCTGTCCATTACCATCAAGTGGACCTACTTGTTCTGAATGGCAGAACTCTGCCGATGCTCACTCATCTGGGGCTGAGGCCATTTCCACTCAGGTATCGACTACCGGGTGTCTACCTGAGTGTGAAGAGCCTCGCTCTGGATGTGTGAACATCGAAAGTGTGATGTCATCAGAACAAGTTAGCCATGCTCCATCGACCTCCATCATCGAAGATGGAACAAAAGTTGCTGGCAACGAAGGATTTCCGCAATATCAAAACAAAGTTGAGGGTAAGTCAAATGAGCTTAACGGTATTATAACACGAAACAAAACCCAAATACCAAATATTTCGACATCAAAGTCTTCGGTCCCAAGATGTCGCTATTGTTTGGAGTCAGAGACAATTGATTGACTGCTAAAGTTGGAGGCAATATACATTCCTGCAGGCAATAGATTAGCAGAATTATGCGTCTACAATATGAAATGAGACTAAACACTGACTCGTTTATTTGATTTATTAGATGGCAAAAATGTTGTGATTGACAGCAGCCTGTTGTCGAAGAATGAAGATGAGCAAGAAAATGGTAAATGCAAACAGAAAAAGAAAAACAAAAAGCAGAAAAAAGCGAAAGTTCACAAGAAGGAGAAACGTTCAAAAGATGAGAAAACCGAGAAAACGAAGTCCAAGAAATTTCATCGACGACTTGTTTCTCTGTTCTGTTGTTGTTTTAAAAGTCAAGAAAGAAATGATGAAAATAACGAAATGGAACAATCGACAACTGAGAAGAGCGCAACTCGTTTTGAAGATAATATTCAAAGCTGCTCGTTTGTAACTATCGATTTGAACAATTGAATTCTCCTTGCATTATTTATGGTCGTATATGACATTATTTAATATTATACATAAAATGTTGTATTTGTTAAAAGTTATTAATAATTAATATTCTTGTTCCAAAATAACATTGCATTTCTTTAATTTCGCTCCTAAAATAATCACGTGGTCAAGTGGGTGTTTATTTGAAAGCACGGCCGAGGGTCGTGTTTTGGTTATAGACTCATCTCTCGCTGTTTATTGGTTCAGGTTAGGCTGACTTATAAGCAGCGAGACATGACTCTATGGTTTAGGTCCGAGGTTTTACGCGAGAATCCGCTGGCAGGTGTATTTGTAGGGGAACTCAGAATATAGAACATTTGCAGAATACACCCTTCCGGAAAGTACATCACTTTGGCTATAGAGCCTCGTTTTCGTGTAAAGTTGGGTATTAGTAAAGACCAACGTCTCAATCACGAAAACGAGGCTCTATGACCAAGATGACGTACTTTCCGGAAGCGTGTATTACTAGAGCAATAGACAGATTTAGATCGAGGACGCGGACGTCAAAGACGACGTGAAAATGGCGTGTTGTGCCCATGTATGGATATGCCACGCCATTTTGACGCCATTTTCACGTCGTCTTTGACGTCCGCGTCCTCGATCTAAATCTGTCTAATGTACAGATTGCGTCGACTTCAGTTTTCATTATTCGGCTTCTTTGAATTGTATGTAGTCTTATACAATGTTTGAAGTTTCTGTCTGTTTTCAAGAGAATGAAGTCGGGGCTTTGCGCGTATAATGCTATGCTCTAATAATTTAGCAATGTTTGGTCAATTACTGTGTCTTGGTATTCTAATTACTGGAGGAACGGCAAACCAATAAACGGCATATGATTTTTTAGATGCCAAATCGTGGTGTTTGTCGTTGCCGTCAGGAGAAGCTCCATCGCGCAGGACATGCCACTCAGCGGCTGCCGTCGACAACAGGTTGTTTATATTTGGAGGAGGCCAATCTGGTGCAGAGCCTGTACAGGATGATAAGTTGTATGTGTATAATGCAAGTAAGGAAACGTCATATTGGAAATGTAATGTTTTCATGTTTCAAAGGACTTATTAGGATGATTATCTCCGTGTTTCTGAAGTCATCTTATGTATACTGGAGAGGCCAGATTATCTGCTTGTTTAATAGTAGCGTTAGTGGAAGTCTGAACCTCTGCGCTAATTACCAGAGTTCCACTTGTAGTTTCATTAGAGTTTAAATACTTATCTTCTCTTTCAATCAATTAAAACAGTGCCATTAGCAACAAGCGCTCTGGGCTCATCACCAGGATCACCAGGATAAATAGAATCGTCTGGAGTTATATTGAATAGAATACTACTTGCACTTTACTACTTAACTTGTCAAACATTGTTGTGACTGTCTTATTTTCAGAAGAGAACCAATGGTCCCAACCAGATGTGAATGGTGTCCGTCCTAAAGTGAGACATGGTCATGTGATGATTGCTGTGAAGAATGGCATTTACCTTCATGGTGGAATGGCAGGGACGGAAATTTTTGGAGATCTCTGGAAACTAACAATAGGTATGTGCACTTTGTTATTTACTAACTGTAGTAAAATTTTCTTACCAAAAATCTCACCAAATGATGATGACCTGGTGATGGTGATGGTTTTTATGGTATTGGTAAATGGCTGTATGGTGGTCATGCCGAAGGTGATATGTTAACTGGATGGTAATGATGGTAGTCGTGGTGGTGAATGGGTATCCGGTTATTTCAATGCATAATTTTGAGCCTGTTTAATAACCTGGTAGTTGGCTGTCTTCAAAACGTTTCAAGAGAAGCACTTGTCAACTAGGAAAAGTTTTTGCTAGAAATGTTGTGTTCAAATTCCACTGAGCTCTCTCTATATCCTTAGTTTAAAAGAGTACATGGTGGATATCTAATAATAAACTGGCTTGTTTAGATGATGGTGAGATGAACTGGTCACAACCGACAGTAACTGGTGATGTTCCAAGCAAGCGTGCTGCTCATGCTGGTTGTGCTGTTGATGAAACGTTGTATTTGTTTGGTGGTATGAACGAAACTGGCGCATTAGATGATCTGTATTCCCTCAACACAGGTACCTTCGTATTTACATAATAGTTATGAAAGTGATTATTAGTTATAATAACGATTAATAACGGATTTATTGCGGATATAGTAAAACAAAACTTGTTATTAAATATTCTTGTACAGAGTCCATGCTGTGGCAGAAGATTCAATGTGAAGGGCCACCACCTCACTGTCGCCTTGATCACACCATGTCTGCTGTAACTGTTTCAAGAAATGTTGATGGTATGTACGAGTGGTATATTTATGACCCATGATGGTATGTACGAGTGGTATATTTATGGGCCATGATGGTATGTACGAGTGGTATATTCATTGACCCATGATGGTATGTACGAGTGGTATATTTATGACCCATGATGGTATGTACGAGTGGTATTTTTATGACTCATGATGGTATGTACGGGTAGTATATTTATGACCCATGATGGTATGTTCGAGTAGTATATTTATGACCCATAACACCCTCCGGAGCTTCGGCGACCACTGGCTTGTCTTGAACGCCCTGCTCTCATATTCATTCCTTCTTTACTACATACACAATTGTGAAATCGAAAATTAAATGTTTCAAAACTGAAAATAATTAAATAAATATTGCAATATTCATACATTTTCCAATGTTTTCTTTCTAGAGAATGAAGAGACGACAGTCAAACAAACATTTCTGGTTGTGTTTGGTGGAATGGACACAAGTGGCCAAATATTTGATGATTGTCTTGCTTTTCTTGTGAAGGAATGAAGAACGTGATGTTAAACTCTGATACTTCCAAGTATCTTTCCTGCCGGAGGAATGGTGATTCCCAACAAAACGTGTTCTCAAACACTTTGATATTCTTCGAAGTATCCCATTTCATCGTGCCAGAGATTATTTTGATTGGTACTTTTACTATTTTATGCTCTCTGGCCAACTGAACATCACTCTCTAAGGAAAATGTTTCGGTGCAAGACTGAAAACCATGAAATGCAGGCCGTGACGATTCGGTTTCACAGTAGAAGGGTCCATGGAGATGCTTCGCCGATTAAATCGGCTATTTCCTGTATTTTGAGCCTTTTAAAGACAGTTGTAAATATGCTACTGTTTATAGAGTGCTACTAAACTTCAAAAGAATTATGTCAAACTGAATTTAGTGCTACTCAGATAACTGTCGAAGACTATATCTATGCTTAAAGTATTTTATCATTCCAGGACATGCGAATGTTTCATATTAAAAATTGATTTTTTTAATTCTTCATGCATTTAAGTTATGCAGCTGAATTCCACCCAAGTTTTATATCTTTTCGACTAGAGTGAAGTGCTGTTCTTTTTTAACTAAAGCAAAAAGTAACTAATAATTCTTTGTTTCATGGATTTCGATGAACTTGAATAAAAGCGTTCCAGATCTTCATTTTTGAAGTCAGTGCCAAAACATAAGGACAAATAATAGGCACTTACATGAAGTATGTCCCTAATATGATATTCATTTGCAAATTGCAATCATTTGGATTGTCTTTTACAGTAAAAGTTTAGTATTCCTTGAACATTTTTTGATGTAAGAAGGCAGGTTAACTGCATATGTTTCGTGTGATGGTAGATTCACCACTTGGTTCGGCGTTGAAAGTGATTTTAGGACGTATTGAAAATGCTGTGCTGAGGCAACCCCCGGTAAGCTATAATTTTCACCCCACGAATAAATTATCCGTGTTTGTCATAATTTTGCTTTTTAATATTCTGCTTCTTCTGGTCCACTTCAAATTTGCAATGTTTAAAATGTAAGTGCATGTCCAATTTGCATGGATGCTGATATCACCATTCACCTGCTGATCTTTGGTGAACTGAATTGGGAATTGGCCCAACAAGGGGCTTCACCGGTGCAATCGTTGGAGCAAGCACTTTTCACCTCTGAGATTGTAGGTTTGTTCCTCGCTACGGTCTCATGTGAAAAGAGTCTGTCAATGTTTTACTGAAAGTTGAGGATAAATGTAGTTAGGGTTAGGAAAGTAATATTACAATTGTTATAAAGACCAAAATTTTCCTGGGAGCTTTTTGGTACTGGCCCCAACCCTGTCCCTACTAATGACTGTGCCATCAGACCCCTGCACAGCAGCTTACTTGGTGGCACTATGTACCTGTCCCTAAGCTTACTCCCC